TTGATCTTTCAGAAGTTCTTCTCTAATGTTACCTAATCTAAAAAGCTGTTGTAGTCTCTGGAAATTATACTGTCATACCTTACCCTTGTTCCAGATTGTTAATAAATGAATAACACTTGTTGGTACAGATCTTGAGGTTGTTCTACTTTTGATCTTTTATGGTTTGGGAAATAACCATTTACCCCATCTCTTAGTTTTTAGGTCTTAACTCATTTTTTCTGCTTTTGTTTTTTTTTTTTATAGTATTTGTTTCTGACCCCATGACTTGGTATTATAGTTCCTAATATTTCCTATTTTGGAACATTTTAAAAGTTCATTTAAAGTTCGGAAGCATTATTTAACAGATTTATCTACTTTTAACATACTCAGAGAATTCTAGTAGTTTAGTGAAGTATGATTTTCCTTTCGTAGAAACTGTCCTGATTTGCATCTATAGACTTGCTAGCTTCATTTAGGCATTTGACATTTTATTGCCATACTGAGTTTTACATGCATATGTGTACATACCCCTACTCAGAAAGAATGAAAAGGTTAAGTTGCTGTTTTTAGATGGATTTTGTTTCTCAAACTTGGAAAGTAGAATAAGTAACATTGCAATTTTTTGGCTGTAAGTCACCCTTCACCTAATGCTCACACATGAAAGCACGGATGTGGAGGTTTTTAGATCAGAGCTGCATTATTTGGAGCATGGTAGTGTGTGGTAATTCCTTTTGCTTGTGGAGGCTGCCTGGGCATGAAATATCATTCATTGTTAGCAATGTCTCTAAGATGGTCAATCTTCAAGCCAGATTCTGGCCTACAGGAGCAAAGCCTGTTGGCTGCAAGCAGAGCTTTCATATGAGGAAATAGAAGTTTTAACTTAGAGCAGAATTTGGCCCAAAATAAAGAAAACTGCTTTCATCCTCTGGGTCACTTGCCAAGTTTAAATCATTGGGTTCATTGGAGTGCTGCACAGGAATGTGGCTGAATCGATCAAAATTCTTGGGAGGTTCAAGAGAAACACATGCTGGAGCAGGAGCCCACTGAACCCAACTGGAAGAACCCTGTTACTTTATTTGGAAAAGGATGAGTTCACTCTTATGCCTTTCCCACTTCCTAAGTCTTTCTGCCCCCCTTTCAGGTGCCTGGCACTATTATTTGAAGCCGTTCATCATAGCACCTGTTCTTGTTCCCTGTTTGTCTCTGCACTGGAGCACAAAGTGAGGGAAGCTAATTACAATCTCTGTCCGGCCTTTGTGTATATGCAAGACCAGCTAAAACCAAGTTCCCTGAGTCTCTTACCTGTGGATGCAGGAATATGTATAGAGCATATGCAAAAACTGTAGATGATTAATGTTAGCTATATTTTATTTTTAAATAATGGCTCATTCAGTATGCCTTGGGTTGTTTGCCTTTTTTCTTCAGGAAATAAATGTATGCTGCAATGTGATGGCATAGCCTGCCAAAAATAATGGTCTCATTTTTTCTAGTACATATTATGTACATTATATTCTTGGGCCCTGCTGTATTTGTCCAGAATTCTCCCTCCCCCCCCATACCACCCCCTTTTTTGTTACACTATGTCTTCAAATGAGGTCAAGAGAAAAAAATCATTAATATCTGTCAACTTCCTTTATAACCTTAAGGAAAAATCTTTGTATGATATCACACAGACAGATTTTCAATTTCCTTGTGTAATAAACAGATGCTTTAGGATTTGGATGTAATTTAAAGGTTTAAAATATCACATTGAGATTGATGAATAAATCAGTTGTGAAGACAAAAACATTGATGCCTGTTGAAAATACCTCTCCAGACAGGCAGGAAATGAAATTAGTTCCCAGTAAAGTGTGGAGATGAGGATCACTGTTTAGTTCTGCTGCAGGCTTTTTAGGACTAGCTATAGTGGCACAGCGAAACTGCTAGGGCTACAGAAATCTAATTAAAGAGCAAATGTCCCTTCTGACATCAAATTAATCTTTATCAAGTTCCCTATTTTTATTTCAATCTGGAACAAGAAAATGAAATTTAAAATTCTAGGCATGTTGCAAAACAGTTGGTGATTTTCTCTTGAGCATTACAATACAAAACATTCAGCATTGTTTAATTAGACCTCTAAGCACTCATTTTCTGAATGCTTTTTATTTCATCATTGTTTGTTAAGGACTTACATAAATAATACACAAATATTTGCTACAAGCCTAAATATAAGGCTGTCTTCTGATGTTGTGCAGATATATATTTTCAGTACGTTTGGGTTGCTTGAACCAGGCTGAAATAATTACTGTTTACATTTTAGATGCAATCATATTTACTAACCCTTCATTTTGCATAGTTCAAGAATTCTTAAATCATATTAAGGTTTAATTTATATCTTTAGTAATGTAAATTATTATTATTTGTGTTAAAATAATGCCTCAAAGCTTCAAAATAAATGAGTGCTCCATCGTGCAGTGTACTGTACATACACCTAATAAGAGACAGTCCCTAGGTCAAAGAGATTACAATAAATTAACAAGACAGACAGGATATGGAAAAGGGAGTATAATGGGTTTCATTTTACAGATGGGAAAGCTGAGGCAAAAAGATTAATGCCCTAAGATGGAAAAGCATTTAAGCACACGTTTATAACTTGCACAGATAGTACCAACCTAGTCAGATTATGAATACACTAAAATTATGCTTGTGATTTGCTGGAATGGACCCAGCATAATTTATCTAATGTCACACAATATATCTGCATGGATCCCAGTCAGACCTAGGCCACTGCCCTAATCTCAGAGCCATTTTTCCTTTCTGAAATTGTTTATTCTGCTTTAGTCTAAGTGATCAGAAATAGCATAACATCGGTGTCCTCTGACTTTGAGAAACCCTCTCTGCTAGCCAGAAGGGTAGTTTAGGTTTCTCTGACAGTTCTCTGAAGCAAGTTGCTAGAATTACCAACCTATTGTATGATGGTTTTTCATGTATTTGTTTGCTTCAGGAAAACTAATAAGAGATCACTAAGGGCCATTTTCTACTGAAGGTAATTCTCAATGCCTGAGGCTAGAACATGCTCCATTAGTCAGTTTCTTCTTGCAGCTGAAATAGAAATGGCCCTAAGGGTAGCGTGTTATGATAATAGTAATAATACAAGACCCATTTTATGGTCTTTCATCACATAAAACTCCTTAAAATCAACAAGAGTTTTGCTTAGTTAGGATTTCAGTGAGGCTCTTTATAAGCATGAATATTGTTCTGTGTTTTTCAGATTGCAGATTAGTGTCTAAAAGAACAAGCAACATACAAGGTGTTTGGGAGAGTTACAATCAAATGATGTAGTTTTTTCATACAGTTCTGTCTGTGTGTGTGTGTATTACACACAAACTATATCCCATTATCCCTCCACTCATCCACTATTAACCAGTTTCTTGTAAGCATCATAGGAGAAATGAGTCTTCAGGAAAGCAAGATTTCAAAGAAAAAAGGGTATTGGCCTTGAGAATTAGGTCATGAGGGGGCACTCTACGAAGAACATAGAATGGAGTGTGGAATAAGGCTGGAGCATGGATGAAGACTGTGATCAAGGGTAGACCTTGGTACAGTGGAATGGAGAGAAAAAAAAGACACAATAGAAAATATGTAAGGTGGGGCAGAGCTATGAAGGGCTTTGAAAGAAAGTTTGATTATAATGAAGTGAGAAAGGGGGAGTCAGCAGAGTGATTAGAAAAGAGGGAAGTGACATTCTGAATTTAAAGGATACTCATTCTCAGGGGCCTAAGTGAAACTAAAAATACTGACTTTTTTTTTATAAAAAGGAAATGTGGTTAATTTTTTTAAACCAGCAAAAAGAAATAAATTTCCCTGGCCCACTTTCCTAACAAATAACATGTATATGTCTAAAACAACCACATGCAAACCACTTAAACAAAAAATAAAGCTGTGAAGACATGAGTTTTTATCAGAATGAAACCATGTGGGAAGTTGGTCCACAAAGACTGGATTTTCAAACAAAATGTTGGAGCAGAGTCATCTCTTGCTTTAGCAGCTACACCTCCTATAGGTGTCTCTGGAAATTGTACACACTTGCCCCAGGACTGAGTTTGGTCTTTTTCAGCAAATATTGGTTGGTTTGGTTGGTTTGTTATAAAGTTATTAAGTACTCGGCTATGAAGGGATTCTAACCATATAACTATTCTTTGTGTGTTATTTTGGCAAAACCTGTTATATTAAATAAATATGAAGTACCCTTGAAATTCTGAAAGTTCTGGTAGATTTGACAGGCCATATTTAAACATGCTAATGCATTGAAAGACTCAAAAATCACAATCAATTCCCATTTAACAGACATTTAATTTTTTTTAAATATATACATTTCTTTGTATCTTCCATTCAATCTCCCCCCCAGCCCAAAAAACACACACTCCTTTCTTAGTTTTCAGACAGCAAGTTGTTTTGTGCTGCTTTCGCTACATTAATCCAACAACTGTTAAAAAGCTTTGGTTGAATTTTTGTTTAGTTTGAGAAAGAAGTACAAATAAAAGAAGAAGCAGATGGTCCCTTTGTGACTGAATGAAGAAAGAAGGTTTTGAGAACAATATGTGAATAGGTGTACTCTAATAAAACACTCAGCCACCTGCTGCCTGCATCCTTCAAAAAGATTCTGTTGCATATTCTGGGAATTAACAACTAGTGGATCCTTAGTTTTATATACAAGTTCTAAGGAACACACTGCCTTTTTTCCCCCTTGTCCTCCTGGCTTGACATTGTTTCTGTTCTTCGTGTCTTAGTTTCATACTATAGCTGTATGCTATCAAATATTTTGGTGGGCTTTTTCCCACCCACTCTGCCCAAGGAAGATTTTAAAAAAAAACAATTGAAAGAAATGCCCACACATTTTTTCCTGTTTTAATTTTAACTTAAAAGTACGGGGGAAATATACATATTACTCTTTGCTTTACACATGCTACTATTACAAGCTTTTCACACTTAAACTGTTGCTTGGTTTATTGTACATTTATCAGCTCCTTTTTGTCTCCTAGGGATTTACTCTTCAGCCTGATTATCAGAATATCATCAACCCCACATCTACGGCTGCACAGGTTGTTACCCAAGCAATGGAGTATGTTCGTTCAGGGTGCAGAAATCCTCCAGCACAGACTGTGGACTGGAATAATGACTACTGCAGTAATGGGTAAGCAGCCAGTGAATGCCACCTTGTGTTGAGCAACCTTTATGACACAAGAGTCTAATAGGGAGTTGTGAAATAGCTTTGTTGCATGTTCTCCTACTGATTTTTCAGAAAAGCATCTGTGATGATGTTGCATTTATTTTGTAGTTGAATGGCTGTGTGAAAACAATATGCACAATACATATATTATTAAAGGTTGCTATTGCTTTATCACAAAGTACATTTTAGTACTGAAAAACTTTAAATTGCCAGAGAAGCATAACCGTGATCTTTTGATCCAGGAACAGGGATGGAAAAGTCAGATCTAAGAAGAAGAGTGGGTAACTTTACATGGCTGCCCCTGTAGTATTTTCTTCCAAATTTTTCATCACTTTCCTTTCCAGCAGAAAAAGCCCTAGCTTGACTTGCAGGTCCCATGGTTCTCAGATGCTACAGGGCTGCATATGATATAAGAAACTATATAGAATAGAATAGGGCATAGTATCATTCTTCAAATGCTCCAGTCTAGATCCTGTGCAGCATATCTCTGGTGCAACAATCAAAGTCATCCCAGCTTCAGCCTAGAGACTCTTATGTAGATGGAAGCTGGAGGGAGAATTATTGGGTGCCTATACACATGCTCCTTCGTGTTCTAATTCGAATGCATCGGAGCAGGCTTGATTACTCGAGTCTGCTCCACATTGTAATTAGAATGCTGCAGTGGTGCTGCAGCATCACATGTATTAAGCTCTACATGTTTTAAAATAACCATGTGGCACTTTAACTAAACCTCATCAAATGAGGTTTAATACGTGTGAGGCTGCAGCATTTTAACTAGAGTGGCTGCCCAAGAACTGCTCTAATTAAAACGTACTCCCTCCTCCCTTCCCCCCCACACACACACTTCCAGGCATGTGTATGAGCCACCCATTGGTATTAGCTGTCTTACCTTTTGTATAGATTCTCCACTGCTCTTCAGAGGGTAGATGGTACTTCGTGTACATAGTCCCTCAACCTGTGCCTTCTAGTCTCTGGCGTGCCTTCCCACAACAGCTGATACACTTGAGTGAGTCAGTAAATCTCACTGTGCCCCATGTTTTTCACCTGGAAAATGGGGATCATCACATTTCTTTAGCTCACTGGGATGTTGGGAGGCTAATTCAGCGTTTATCTTGGGCACTTTGACATTTCTGGATGCTGCCATGGAAGTACAAATTGGTGTTGCAGTGGTAGTTTTTATTAATAGTAGTAATATTTTGCAGCTGTACCCTGTTGACCCACATAGTATGGCTTGAGCTAATAACAAACAAAATATAATAAGTTCTTTGGTAGGGCTATTAAAAATTTGATTGGTTTAAATATAATCTGTATTCTTTTTATCTTTGAATAGGGGCATGCAGAGGGACAAAGCACTGTACCTTACCTGAAAATCTGAAAAACCTCTCCTTTCCATGGAGGAATGCAGGGAAGTCTTTTCATCATGGATTGCTTTATGCAGTCAAGGCAGTTCTGCATTTTATTAGAAAATACAAGTTGCTAAGCACTTAGGACTATTTGAGCTTGTGGGTCACCCACTCTGGAAAAAAATAGTCTTGCTTCTTTCTTTTCTTTTCCTTTACTTTTTCTTTTTTTTCCCTCCTCCTCCTCTTTTTGTTCACAGAGATTCCTTTAACGGACATTGCTTTTCTTCCTTTCTGAAGGAAATTTGGACCATTCAGATTTTATGTTGGTTTTTGCTGTGAAGTGCTGCGCTAGTAACTGCCTTAGCAACTGTAGATGTCTTGGATAAAAGTCCTGGATTTTCCATTGGTTTTCATAATGGGTGTTTATATGAAACTACTAAAGACTTTTTAAATGGCTTGATGTAGCAGTCATAGCAAGTTTGTAAATAGCATCTATGTTACACTCTCCTAGAGTATAAAATGTGAATGTTTTTGTAGCTAATTGTAATTGAAACTGGCTCATTCCAGTTTATTGATTTCACAATAAGGGTTAAATTGGCAAACATTCATATTTTTACTTCATTTTTAAACAGCTGACTAATAGTTCTATATTTTCAAAGTATTTGGAGAAAAAAGAAAAATATTCCCAAATGATTTTAATTAAAAATATTGGCTTTGTCTCATTAAATAAACAAAAAAAGAGTTGGGGGGGAGGAGGGGAGAGAAAAGAACTTAGTGTGGGGGAAAAAGTAAACACATTTATTTTGTACTGCCTAAAAATGCTTTTTTTTTTTTAAATCACTTTATGTGTAATGGTTAGTAAACGTCATTTAAATCCTTTTATGTATAAAACTGCCAAATGCTTACCTGATATTTTATTAGATGCAGAAACAGATTGGAAACAGCTAAATTATAATCTTTATATATGGCTATGTATTATTGTTTCTTCATACTGTGTCTGTATTTAATCTTTTTTTATGGAACCTGTTGCGCCTATTTATGAAATAATAAATATAGGTGTTTGTAAGTAAATTTGTTAGCATTTTAAGGAGATTTCTTTGATGCTTTAACTTTTGCTGACAAAAATTATTCACAACTGGTGTGAATACTTTATTTAGTTTTTACAAAAACAGTGACTAACGCCAAGCCTGCTTTTTCTGGCAAAAAATGAAGGCAACCAACACTTATTTCTGCATTTTTGTTGATGCAAAAAACAGATATTTTATGTACTTCCCTTTTTAAAGCATTGTAACAGGAAGTTGCCCAAAGCTAACACATAAGCCACCAAGGCTATATAAATAAAAAGGTATGACGCTGCCGTTGGAATTCAGTTTTGGTTAATCAGCCAAGTGAAACCATAATGAATAAATCAAAAGAATTACTAAACGTGCTTTAGCCTTTTTATCACAAATGCAAAAGTCCAGTGATAAGAAAGCAGTGATTTTGCTTTTGAGCTGTGGGGAACGTCACAAATAGCACCTGAATGAAAAGTAACAGAGCAATGGGATAAGGAGTAAGAATGCCAAAATAGAATATTTTCAAGGTTTTAGATCAGGAATAGTTAGGAAGGAATTCAACCTGAATGCCTGTCCAACTGATGAAGAGTAACACCGATCTTTATTTCATATATGAAATAAAGATAGTAATTCTGATTAAATACACAATATGGGATGCAGTCAACATTTTTAAAAAACAAAAATATGCTTGCTTTGAAATGATTTTAGGCAATGTACAACCTGAATCACTTGAGCATGTAATAACTAATAAATAATGCAGATCAGATGTGATTACTCAAATGACTGTAGCTGAGAGCTCTAATTTTCCTGTCTTGAAACTGTATAAGAACTCGTGATTAAGTTCACAGTTTATTGTTTGTCTGTTTAGTACTTTAGAAATATACCAGCACTACTAATTACCCAATGTCTTCTATTTATTATATTATAGTAAGCTACATTTTCCACTCATATTAATTCTAAAGTGAGAAGATAATTGCTGGGGATGGGAACAGTCAGGTTTGATTTTGACGGGCAGGTATTTTTTCATTCATCAAAGAGCTGTGTTATCTTCATCTTTTTTTTAAAGCAGGTGTGCAGACAAGAAATTAAAGTTGTTAATTTCAGTATCCAAGCAGAGTTCAAAATACAAGCAAAATGAATGTAAATAAAAAATACATCATGAATAAAATACTTATTCTGTATGAAACTATTGCTACTGGGTGTCTATTAGTCTTTAAGAGCTCCAGCCTACAATGAGCTAAGCAAAGCACTTAAGCCATTGCTTAATATCAGTTTCAGTGAATTCAGTGGGAGTTCTGCATTTGAAACTAAAGAAAGACCTAGCCTTCAAGAAAACAAGCAATGTTGGTCTTAGCTGTGCTGAAGTAACACTTAATTCTAGAAGTGATTTCCAGCTTTGGCACAGAAATTGCAGTTTTCCCTGCCAGGCCAAAGAATAAGCAGTGGCTGGTTGCCATCTGCAAGGGGCTACCTGCTACTTTTTTTTTTTTTTTTCAATTGTGGATTGACAGATACAAAGGTCAACAGCAGGATCACAAAAGATAAAAGCCAAGAGCCTTGTATAACCAGGTGAAAGTCCAATAAAGTTTATAAGTTTGTATCTCTTCCCAAAGCCAAAAGTAACTTCAAAAAAGGAACTATATAGAGCCAAGCTGTAAAATCCCAGCTCTCAGATAGAAGATAAATAAAAGCTACAGAAAAACAAACAATTTATAAATAAAAAAAAAATACAGCTAATGCAAATAATTTAAATACAGCAAAGACTTCCAACATTCAGGAAATCATTTCTCCATTGCTTATTAACAATTATTTTCACTCTGACCTGGAAAATGCACTGAAAGCAGGACTTGAAAGTAGGCCTGAACAGTTGATATGGGATGACAGCAACATGTGAGCACCATAAAATGGAAACCCTACCGGATTGCAACCATGATGAGCAAGGGATACAGAAAAGGAAAACCTTTACAATTCATTCTTTGCTGTCACAGTGCAAACTGGAGACACCAATAGGATCCCAGTTCTGCTTTCACTGAAATCAATAGGGCTTTTTAACAGAATGAGGCTGATTGCCACCTCCTGCATTTCATCCATGGAAGGAACCTGCCAGCAAGTTTCTGTTGGTTGCACAGTAGGCCACAGTCATCTACACTGAAGCCTCTATACATTTGTACCCTCTAATAAGCACAGTGTCCGTCTTCCTAGCTCCAGTAAGTGCCATGCTTTCTGGGACTCTTTTGGGAGTCCTCTTGAAGGGAAAATCCTTATGATGGAAGGGGGCTTCTTATATAGCTATATTACTCTTCCAGCTGTGCTGGTTTACCAGCTCCCAGGCCCTTTTTTGGTCATCCCCACCACTCCCATAAGCATTGCAAGACCCTGGAGAGCCCTTCACGTGTACTGAGGGAATAGAAGACAGTGCCAGTGAGGTGGCTGCAACCAAGTGTGTGAGAAATGATATCAATAAGGAGCTGTAACAACCACAGCTCACACACAGTCTAAAACCACAGACAGGTGCTTTTTATATGCACACATTATCAGGGTAAGGATTTGATTTATTGGGTCTCTCTGAATCTTCTGGCAATGAAAGGAAACAACATACCGTACTTATGAAGGTAAAGCAGCGGAGTCCCTCACAATGATGAATACTGCTCAAGTCAGTCAGAGCAGGGGGCTCACTGCACCTTACAAAATGTACTCAGCATCTTTGAGGATGGAGCTTTTCTTTGCATCAGAATTGACATGTTACAGACTCTGCCTCCCTTTGCCAAGTCATGTATTTTCGTATTACCCAGCAGCACATTAAATCACAACTCAAGTGTAGTTCTTATTCCACAGACAAGGGGACAAGTGAGAACAATGACTTGTAACATTTCAGAATCTGTCACAGTTACTGCCTAATTAAAGAAACCTACTAGCAAATGTACATCTGCATGGATCCTACAACTGTCAGCATTTCACATTCCATTAAGGACTTGCTGGGATAGACACTTCATAGGGAAATTTCATTCACACTGATGTAAAGCCTGGGAAGATATAAGTAAACTAGAAAATAAAATAGCAGGAAAAAATAAAAGCTTCCCAGTCTGAAAAATAGCCATGTGCAAAACTGCAGAATACTGCAGATCAGAGCCTCACCCTCCAACAATTGTGTGTTTACAATGTGCCTGAACATAATTGCTCTGATGGGCTGTCAAGGAAAAGATTAATTTGGCAAAGATTAGTATTGACTTGCTGTTTATTAAGGCTTTTAAACAGCTGTATCTGGCAACATTCCTGTAAGTGCCTGTCATGTCTGAAAATCAGGCTCACACCCTGGTGCTTGCCAGCTGTTACTAAACAATCTTATACCACTTTGAGTATGTGTCTCCAGGCCAAACAGCAAGAGCAAAGCATTGCCAAATGAGTCTCTCCCCTCCTGTCACTTTTTTGGGTTCTGAAAGCTGAAATGTCAGTTTATGGCTGATGGCTGAGCTGCTAACAGATACCGGAAGCCAGTTAGGTGGTTAGAAAGGTGCTACAAGAACATGTCCCACATGTAGAGATTGGGTACTACTGTTAGTCACCTCATGAGCACAGAAAACCACAATTTGCAACTGTTACATGTAAAGGGGTTTTAAAAACTGTTAAGAGATTATGATCAAAGGTGTGTGAGAGACAGAATTCCAAAATTAATATTGCCACCCCTCAGGCTGTGCCAAGACCCTGTAGGCCATAATGGATAAAGCCAGCACGGTAGGATGATAGGCAGAAGTATGGTAGACACCATTAATCTTTATAAAATGACTTGATTTTATCTTCTACAATCTTTTCCCAGGCTGCAAATAAACAAAAGCCATAAAACATACACACATTATAGCCTGGTCAATGGAAACCTGTAAAAGGAAAGATAGCAGCTGTTAATTTTTTTCTATTACTTAAACAGCAGGTTAGCTTTTCTTATAGACTATAACAGGGAGTTCAGAAGCAAATCAGTAATGCCAATGGAAAGAATAATATTCCACTGCAGAAAAACGCCAATATAAATAGCAATGTGTTACAATTAAAGTTGATTTGGCCTTTCCAATAGAACTCTGATTTTCTGGGATTAATCTCGACCTTTTCAAGTTGCATCAGGCTGAAATAAGTTGTCAGAACAGATGTGAATTTTGTTTGCAAAGAACAATTGTAATCTCGTAACCCTTTGAGCACAGCATTTCCCAGCCTGTCGGCCAGATGAATATGTAGGATGAGGACAGCAGATACTGAATGTCCTCAGCAGAAAGAGCCAGAGGGGGGAAGACAAGGTAGGAAGTTAAGTAAAAACACAAAATCAAACTTGAAATAAAATTAAACTTTTTAGCTATGAGCTTATGTGGTGGATTCTCCATCATCTCACATCTAAATCAAAACTGAATACCTTCCTAAAAGCTTTATTTCAGTCGCACGTTACTGGGTTCAGTGATAAAATTATTGGGCAAAATTTCAGGCCAGTGTTGTATGTAGCAGGAAAGGTAACATTTTAATTGTCCTTTATAGCCTTAAAACCTATGAGTCAGCAAGCTCTCTTAAATATTAGAAAGTTCAAATGGATTTCCAACCTAGTTTTCTAGCTAGTTTTCCCCATGATCCGAATGATAAAAAATTTCCCACGTTTTTAGAAAAGAGTCTTGTTAACATCTGGGCCTTGCATATTTTTAGCAAGAAGAGGTAAACATTTTGCAATATTCCAGGCCCATCCAGGAGTTCCCAAGTGTCTGGTACCAACAGGACAAATGAATCCCATTCTTTCCCTTTACAAGAAAAAATGGCACCTGCCAAAGTATTACGTTTACTTCCTAACAGAAAAACTGCAAAGCAGTTATTATATAACCAGCCTTATAAAGAAACAAACCAAAGTCCATTCTTGTTACCCTGGCTTCCATGTGAATGCAACGCTTAAATTAGGAACATATAATGATGAGGCAATCACTCTATATCTGAATTGTTACAGGGGAAATATGAAGGGTGCTTTTCCCTTAAGCCATATCTGAGCATTGTTTAATAAAAGCATTCTAAAAGTCATTCAGAAAGATGGAAGAACCCTAGAAGAGCAATATTAGTAGCATAATACTTCATATTTTGATAGCTTCTTTTCTTCACATTTCTAAAAGCCATTATATTGTAATGAAGTAAGCATCATATGTTTCTAGGTACGTGTTATTGTGGCTGTTATAGATGCAGCACAGTGTTTAAGTGGCATACCCACTGTCACACTGATTCAATGCTGCTCAGAGTTCTGAAAACCAATCTCCTGCAGTAGTCTCTGCAGTGGACTCCCTCTCTTTACATGAGAAGAAAAATATTTATTAGAAGGGAAGAAAGAAAACAGTAGCATGGTATTAGCAACCCCAAATATGCAAGTATTTCATTTCAGGTCCTCCAAATTGTAAGATTGGTTTCAATGTAGTATGAGAATTTTTTTAATGATAAATTTGGGGGGTTCCCTTGTCTTCTGTGTTTCAGTCCTAATGATGCAGTTAAGTGATGGTTTCAAGTTTTTTTCTGCAATCACCTGGACAAGAAATTCTGTGGAAAAATGAAAGCCTTCATTCCCAGGTAATCATTGTCTCCAGGCGCTGGAATGCTAGGTTAAAAATCAAATCTCGTGTGAACTACAATAAAATAATGGGAGCTGGCAAGGTTGATCTCTCTCTCTCTCTCTCTCACTCCTTGCTTCACTGTAGTTTCTCAAGAATATTTCCAGCCCCACTACCTTTCTGGGTCCCAGCTATCAATTTCAAAGTTGAGTTTGCAACCAGAAGCAGAATGGCAGCTGTCACGCAAAGATCTCTGGTCAGAGAGACCGACACACTGGAGTAAATGAGCCATGGGCTGACTACCTCAAGTAGGAGGTTTTATTAAACAACCTTTTAAGAGCAAG